AAAAAAAACTAGCCTGCTATATTTGGTCAAACACTTAATGAAATCACCCTTAATGTGATGGCTGGAACTGTGGTTGCCTTGGCAGGGCCAGACCAAATGATTTCGCAGGCCTTATACGGCCCATGGGCCAGACGTTCCCCACCCCTGTTATACAATATACATCAAGAATGGCAAACAATAGCATGTCAGTAAGTCTATACCAGAGATACTTGTTAGCCCTGATCCTTACCAAAGGGTTATTTTCCACTAAGGTCCAGTTAAAAGGGCAGCTGCTGACCTATGCATTTGTTGTTGTTGTTAAATGATGTTGAGTCAGTTACAACCCATAGCTACCCTGCATAGGGTTTCCAAGGAGCAGCTGGTGAGCTTGTACCACTGACCTTGCAGTTCAAATAGTTTTGCAGTCTGGCACATTAACCCACAGTGCCACAACAGGACTCTGCCTATGCATTTAAGGGGTTTTAAAAATGGATATATTCTGTTTCTCAGTCCTGGTCAGACTTATCTGGTTTTCACTGAATTGTGTCTAAAGTAGAAGCCATAGCTGTCTTTGATGTGACAAACACCTGGGCTTTCTTAACCTAGACTTATGAGAAAGTAAAAGGAAATAAGGAAGTCTTAAAGGGAAGAAGCTATCTGTGTGAGTAAATGTGGCTAGGCTCAGTGTTAATTTTAAGGTCAAGGGAGAACAAGTTGCTGGGGATTTTCAGCTAATATTTTTGATACAAAATGTACTGAGTTAAATGTAATGCAAAAATACTTCCAAAAAAGTTACTGCAACTTGCAATTAAAAAAAAAAAAAAAATCCAGTTCCGTTATTTTATGCCACACTTAGCATTCCTTCTTAGCACAGTTCTGCCAAAGAGATACTTCCTTCATGTCAAAAGAAAATTCCAATAATCAGAAAAACAGCTGTGTAGATGACTCACATTAGGTTCTGCTAGGAGAGAAGTTTTGTAAAAGAGGCAAGCACAAGAGAATTGAATTGTAATTATAGACCACAGCTTCACCAGAAAACATTTTCACATCACAAAAAAAGTACTCAGATAGCAGATGGGTCACCTGAGTATGTGACTTGCACATAACTGAAATAGAAGAGGGGTGTGATTTAGAGCAGCAACGTTAAGTACATGTGAGATTCAATAACCAATCACAGGTGGACGATTGAATACGGCGGCTCCAGTCTGCTCATGTCCTGGTTTCTTGCGCATGACAACTTTTGCTTTGATATAGTTGGGGGCTCAGAAAATGATTCTGAAGCAAGTAGGTAACTCACCTTTAACTGCAGACCATTTAAGTGTCCCAAAGTGAGATCCGATATTTTTATCACCACAGGATAAATTATGGAGAAGCTGCAGTTTCGATGCTGGTGTGGAACAACCAGGGTAAACCTTCCATTAGGGGTCTGGGAGATGACATTGCAGGCTTTGAAGGGGGAAAACATATAAACACAAAAATAAACCATAGTTATATTACTTGGTATTCTGAGTTTTTATAGAAACTCAATCTATCCTTATTCTAGGCTTTTCATTGTGGCCTAGGATCTTGTGCCCAGGAAGACAGTATATGACTCACCAAGGCAATTTGAAGGCAAGAAAGGAGTTGGCGAATAAAAATCATCAAAGGCATGGATGTTGTCAGAAGGCTTGGGGTTTACAAGGCGGGTTCTAATCTCAGGGAGTTACATTGTTTATAACACTGACAAGACATAAATCAATAACCAAACGATACTATCTGGATGTCATTCCAGGAACCCTCCAGTTAAGTAGGGTCCTGGTTCAAGATGGACGCCTAGAAGAATTAAGGACTAAGGTGGCACTAGAACTCAAAAGCTGTCTGAATATGGACAGATGGAGCGGCTGGGGACACTGGACTTAGGGAGGGAGAGGGACTGTGTGCTGATGGCCGGGGGGCGGGCCTATGGGGTGTGGTGGTGGTTATGTGCCATGGAGTCAGAACGGACTCACAGAGACCCCGTACAGGGTTTTCGAGGCTGTAAATCTTTATGGGAGCAGAAAGCCTCATCTTTCTCCCACAGAACAGCTGGTAGTTTCGAACTGCTGACCTTAAGGTTTGCAGCCCCATTCTTAACCACTACGCTACCAGAGCTCTATGATGTATGGAGGGGATTGTAATCATTGCAATGAAACAAAATACGATTCGATGAATGTAAAGCTAATGTTCTCTCATGTACACCCACATAATTCACAATAAAAAAAATTTTTTAAAAAAAGCTGTCTGAAGTCAGTATTCATTGAATCAAAAATCATAATGTTAATTTGAAAAATAATCATTAAATAATAAAACAGTCACAAAATAAACCAAGAAAGATGAGAAAGACAGGCCTCGCTTAGGTGAACAGAAAAATGTGAGTATTTGCTGTGTACCACAGGCTCGAACCTGTGAAGGTGGTGCAGGATGAGGCAGTGTTTCGTTCTGTTGTGCACAAGGTCACTATGAGTCAGAACTGAGGACACTTAACAACAACAAAATAATAAATTGACTAAAAAAGAAAATCTTCATGTTTCATTTATTCCCAAGAATTTCTGAAATTTTTTGTTATGTCTCAAATCTAGACTTAGAGTATGATTCTTCTAGCTATAAAACTAGGAGTATTACACAAGCAAGACAGAGTGAGATATATACACATATATTTATATAGCCCACAAATATCTAAGTGTGAAAGATGATATTTGTACTTGAATAAACACAGGGAGGAAGTTGGACAACTATTGTGGTAGGGAGGGGATTGCAATCATTGAGATGAAACAATAATTTGTTGAATATGAAACTTATATTCAACAATAATTAGTTGAATATAAAACTGATGTTGAATACAAAACTGGTCTGTAAACCTCCATTCAATTCACAATTAAAAAAAGAACCCACCCCTCAAAAACCTAGAAGCATCAGAGTTTGCACTTTGGGGGGTCAATTTATGGGAACATGAACATATAAGGAGTTCTGGTAGCGTAGTGGTTACGAGTTGGGCTGCTAATCTTAAGGTCAATAGTTTGAAACTACCAGCTGTTCTGCGGGAGAAAGATTTACAGCCTTGGAAACCCTATGCAGGGTCACTATGAATCAGAACCGACTCCACAGCACACCACCACCACCATCACCACAACCACCATGTTTTCTGATTGATCAGAATGGGTCAAAAGTGCTTCTTGCCTCCTTCCTATATTTTAAATTATACTTTGTTTCAAGAAGAACTAATGTTTCTTGATGATATGGAAGTGTTATGGATTATAACCAAACAAAATATACAAGAAATCATTCATTTTTTCCTCTAGGATAATTTTTGCTCAAATCCTGTTTTTCAACTGAATAGACACTTACGAAAGAGGTTGGGGTTGGTCTTTATGGTTAACGTGAATCCATTTCCTGGTTTCTGGACTCGGAAGAAGATCATGGCCACATTCTGAGAGGATCTAATGCTCCTTCGGCTAAGACCGCTGTCACAGAAATCTATGTACCGCTCAGTTGTGGGGAGAGGATGATCCTGGGAACTGGGAAACTTCTCCCCCTTGAGAATCCAACCATCAAATACCTTCCAACAAAAAATACAAACACAGATGATCATTCCCATCTTCTTCATAAGTGAAGAATTGACACCTATACTTCCCTGCCATCTTGCTTCTTACTGGTGTATATTTCGACTGTGAAGGTTGTTATGTAGACAATATGCTAATTTTTCTCTTGATGCACTTTAAAGTGCATATAAAAAACACAATATGATCCTTACTCATACTCTGACCCTATAGTACAGAATAGAACTCCTCCAAAGGGTTTCCAAGGCTATAAATTTTTACAGAAACAGAGTGTCACATCTTTTTCTGGCAAAGTGACTAGTGGGTTCCAACTGCTGATCCTAATGCACCAGAGTACCTTAAAGTGCATATTGCTGTTGTTAAGTGTCAATCGGTACCTATGGACCTTGCAGTTCAAACTGACCTTGTGGTCCAGTGCTTAGTCTACAGTGCCACACCAGGACTCCTAAAGTGCACATAGCTCTAAATAAAAGTAAATCAATTTTACTATAATTTATTTTAAAACTTTAGTCACCCTTGTAAAGGAAAACTCAGGCAATGTACGTTTTTATCCTGGTTACATTTTCTCTGTTCCACCTTCGGAAGAACTCCATAAAGCACTATTTAAATTTCCTTTCACTCACTTAAATAAATGTGAACACAATATCTCAAAAATAGCAAAAGATAAAACAGAACCAGCAACTTTATTTGCTAATGACTATATACACCCACTTTCCTAATTTTAAAATATCATCCTGTATCACTTTAAAGTATCAATAACTAGTTTCAACACTCAAACAATGAAGACTGGCAAGCCACTTAGGATTTTTCCTTCTCTTATTAACTTCTGCTGTTGAACAAAGGGATGGGATGTCTTCCCTCTCAAAATCACCACAGGCGGCAGGATCTCGGTTTAATGCGTCCAATCTAATCCACAATCAGCAAAATTACCAATAACCCAAACACAAATGATTTTACCCCTTCTGAAGTGTTTGACAGGTCCCACACTAATTCCACTTTGGAAGCTTTAATCATGATTATTTAAAATTGCCCTCTTAAATTGCCCTTTAGACATATTTATGGAGGACGACTGGAAGTGGGGATATTCTAAGGTTGGAGCCCTTGTCAACCTAACTCAAATTAGATTCCTTCTCAGCAGTCACTGCTTTATTGCTCCACAACCTAGCCAACCAGGCATTGAACATAGAATGTGAGCCTGGAACCGCTCTGGAGAGAAAGAGATACCAGCAGGAGAGAGGCAGGAAGGATCTTAGATGGTTGTATGGCTGGCTTCTATCCAGGACCGGCCCGCTTCAGAGCGCCAATTCCAGCTAGTCGTTTGTTTGTTGATGTTGCTTTCATTTTTCGTGCGCCCTAGTCTTTGGTATCACTAGTTCAAGTTATTGCGCTCCTGGAGCCGGGGCAGCGCACAGATGCGCATTTAAACCTCTGCAGCCTCGGGTCCCAGGCACAGGAATGTGTGGGGTCTTGGGCATAGGCGGGGTGTCTAATTAAGAGTTATCACCCCCGCTTACAGCTGGTGACGCTGTAAGATCATCACTGGACTGCTACTCACAAGATCAGCAGTTCAAACCCACCAGTCACTGCTCTAGGGAAGAAAGATGAGGCTTTCTACTTCCGAAAAGATCTACAGTTTCGGAAATCCTATACGGGGGTCGAAATCGACTGAACTAACAACTCTAGTCCCTTGCTCTGCACCTCTACGCTGGGCGCAGCGCCCGGCCCTCTCACCCTTCGGTGTCCCCGGGGCTGGGCTGCGCGGTGCGCGCGCCTCACCTTCAGGAAGTCCCCGCCCTGACAGTCGATGGAGACCGTGTCGTAGTGGATGGTGATGAACTCCTCCGGCTCGCTGATGAAGAAGGAGGCACAGTGCAGCTCTGGCCGATTGGCGGTGAAGGTGAACTGGCCCTGGAGGCTCAGCATGTCCAGGCAACCTGGGGAAAGGGCGGCAGGACCAGCGGGGCCGGGGTTGCTGCCACCGCGCGCCCTCTGTCCAGACTCTGCAGCGCCCCGTGCCCCGACTTCCAGATTACCCCAGATCGCCCCTGGGCCGCCTTCGCCGACAGATCCTTAGCGCTGACAATCGTGCCCCAGGTGGTCCTGGCCACCCTTTCCCCCGCGGTGCTCAGAGCCTCTTGGTCTCAGCGCGTGGTCCCAACCTCCCCACCTTCCTCTCGCCTGCGGACCCAAGCCGGGGGGCAAGAGACTCACGGAGATCGCGGCGATACAGCTGCTCCCCCGCCAGCTCCCGCTTCAAGTTGGCGCTCAAGAGGAGGAAAGGGTCTTCTTGGTCCGCTCTCTCCCGTAGCTGGAAAGGAAAATGGGTCAATTCGGAAAAGTTCAAGGGGTGTTCCAGGTGATCCAGGAGAGCAGCACCACCCCATATCACGCAGCAAAGAGAATTAAAGAGAGGGGATTAAGGGTCTCCCCAGGTCCGGAGAAGTCAGGAGGTCATAGACCCTTTCCGTCAGTCCAGGATAGCCCAGCTGTCAGAGGAAGGCTGGCATTATTGGGTACGTTAAGAAGCAGTGAGGAAGACCAGTCTAGGGAAACCCCAGGAACTAGGGGGCCTACAGACAGAGAGGAAAGCGCTAAGAGCAACAAAAGGCTGAGAAAAGAAGTGAAGTTAGAAGCAGCTACCCATTACCCAAGATGGGACATTTCAGCATTGACGATATGATGGATCCCTCAGTGTAAGGATATACTCACCTCTAGGTACCGACTCTCTCCTCTTAGAATCATCAAGAAAATCAGAATGAAGTGACACTGAAGTTTGAAGGTAGAGGACATGCTGGCCTTGACTGGGCAGCTGGTGTACTCCTTTCCGGATGGCTGGGGGTTTCCTTCCCACACCTTCGTCCAGGCTGAGAGCTAGAAGCTGGTAGGGTCCCTTGGCTGGGTGTCTTTATAGTGCAGTGGGAGGGGAGGCTTTCTGCCCCTCAACTGATCAGTGCTCAGTAACCATGGGTTACCCTGTCTCAGTGGCAATGTGCGTTGCAATGACGAGGGTATAGCTCTAAGCCACAAATTTTCAGTGTGGTCCAGCCTTATTCACCAAGAATGATTTCAGTCACTACAACTTGGTGAATTAAAGTGTGGGGAAAAGAAAAGCAGGAAAGACAAAGAAAGAGGGAAGGCATTTTATTTGACCTGCCAAATGCTGCATTCTACCCTCCTGTAGACTTTGGGCTAAAACAGGGACAGATGGTGGGTAGTTTGGTTTTAAAAAGTGACAAAGTAACACACATGCATAAAATATCCAAACACATATAAGCTTATCATATAGTCTTGTCACATAACCTTGGATGAAATCATTCTGGAAATTGTCAGAGAGTATAACATTACTCTTAAACTGTTGTGAAGTGGTCTTAAGACTTTTTTTGTTATTGTTGGACATGATTAAAATATTTTTTGCTTTCAAAAAAGTCCCAGAGCAAGTTGTCACCTGTGCTAAGCTTGAATGTCAAAGTGACCACAAAACAGATCCACACTCATTCTATGAACATGGAGTGAGGGTGAGGGGGTGTGAGGGATTAAGAATTGTACTTAGAAGCAGACAGCTTCTAACTAGCAAGTGGAGGGACTTTGTGTCGTCCTGGGAAAATGGCCTATCGCTTGATTGTGACAGGCCAGTGGAAGACTATGGAGTGTCTGCCATGACATGTGAACTGAGGTATCCGAAACAGCAAAGGACGCTAAACAAATCCCTTTTGATTCTAAAATCTATAACCCCATTAAGTACTCACGAGCTGCTCCTTGGAGAGCACCGTGGCTCCTTATAATAAGTACTGGGCTGCGAACCAAGGTCCACGGTTCGATCCTGCCAGCTACTCTGTGGAAAATGAGGCTTTATGCTCCCACAAAAATGTAAAAAACCTCGGAAACCTTACACAGGATCGCTGTGATTCAGAACCAACTCAGAGGCACTTAACAACAACAAGCTGCTCCTTGGAAACCTTCCATAGGGTCACTATGAGTAGGAACCAATTTGACGGCGCTAACAACAATCTGCTGAGTCCTGGTGTGGCGCTGTGGGTTAATGCGCCAGACTGCAAAGCCATTTGAACTGCAAGGTCGGCGGTTTAAACTCACCAGCTGTTCCTTGGAAACCCTATACAGGGTCGCTATGGGTTGGAACTGACTCGACGGCACTTCACAACAACAATCTGCAACAGTATGCTTATTGTTTTATTAATCTTCCCAACAGAAAATATTGACAATGCAAACTTTGAAGGCTCCCTTTTACACAATTCTTGACCAATTTTTTGATATGTTGGGAAATGAGACATATGGTTGAGTTCTTGGAGAAATAAGAAAAAGTAATCAAATTAAGCTGGCCGTAGTTAGCAAAAAAAAAAAAAAGTTTTCAGTTGCTTTCAAGATGACTTGTTTGAATGAATTTGGCTATTTCTAATGCAACTATTTTTAATAGCTAGTTTTTTTTTTTTTCTAGATAGATTTACTATCGGGAAGGAAGAAACTAAGCAAGCAATCTTTGAGGAACGAGTATAAATTAGCCTATAAATTAAATACTTGTGTGCAAACTATTTCCAATCCAAATTCTGTATCTTTTGGTTCAAATAACCAGCAGTCAGTACAAATAGAATTTTGGAAGATTTCAAGGGACCCAATTTGAGCTTAAGGCATCAGGGGAGTTATTTATCAGAACACAAGGATATCTTTTTTTTTTTTTTTTAATGTTTTATTGTGAATTATGTAGGAGTTTACATGAGAGAACCTTAGCTTTACATTCATCCTATCTTATATTGTTTCATTGCCATGGTTACAATCCTCTCCAAGCATCATCAACCAACCAAAGGGTATACCCCATAAGCCTGCCCCTCGGTAATCAGCACACAGCCCCTCTCTCTCTCTGGGTCTAGAGTTCCTAGCCGCTCCATTTCTCCATGTCATCATCTATGCCTCCATCTCTGGTGTCACTGCTTCTCTGGGTAGGGTCCCACTCTCTGCTCTTCTCCCTTGATGGTCCCAGGGACCTTCGCTCCTGGACTGCAAAGTCAATCACTCCCCTCCTTTTACTACAAAACATCTACCTTTACATTTCCAACCCTCACAGTCAGTCCTGGTAGCAATTATTCACTATTGTACCACAAGAGTCCTATCCCCATCTCCTTTCAGATTGGATACTACTCAGTAGAGATTCCACCTTCCTCCACACCCTCTGTATCTAGGCTCCCTCTTGAAAGCTTGTAAGCCAGTCACTTCTTGCCTTTGTAACCTCCCTATTTTGGGTAGTCAATGTCCAAGTTGCTCATCCTTGTTTACCCTATGTACTAAGGGGGTGGGAATGATCCAATCCTCACTGTAAAGATTTGTTCCCTCTTTTGAGCTACTGTATCCATAGGTGTAGGTCAAGTTCATCAAATTGTATCAGATTACCCTTTTTTTCCCCTCTTCTTTCTTCTTCTAGTTGAGTTCTGATCATCTAGCCATTGAAGCCTGGTCAAGTGGGTATTATCTGCAAGTGTGGGTGTTCTTGTGCATATCCCCTAACTTCTTATCAGCTGGACACTTCACTCTCCACTCTAGTCCTCTGTGGCCATGTCTCTGTCTCTAGGTCCAGGAGTCCCCAGGTCTTGCCATTCTGCTGGCCAATGAGGTCTCCACCTGGGTTCACAGGAGTCTATTGAACATGGTCAGACTTTGCTCACAGCTTCATTGCTGTTTTTCCCTCACTTCCCCTTATCGGCGACCAATGTGATCACCAGTCAGACCGTGTGCCTGCTCGCGTATTTCCCTTTAGTCTTAGTCTTGGAAAGGGGTTTGCCCTGAGGGGACCCAACCACTTGCCTTGATGTCTCCTGGGTGAGCAACTTGCTAGTTCTTGTAATAGTCAGTCAGACTGCCATTATTGGTTTTTTAAAAATCTTTTCTGTCAGTCTTTCTTTCAAGAAATATCTTCTGTTCTTCTAGCCGCTCCAGGATGGTCTGCTTGTCCTTTCAAGTGGAGATTTCCCACTTCAGAAGATTCTGGATGGGGTTCAGGAGTCCACCTATGGTCTTAGGCAATGCAAAGGCTCTGCAGGAAGCCTCCTTCACTGAGCAAGTTGTACCCCCATTGTAGGTATTCCAATCAGTTATAGGTAAAAGACGGACTTACAAGCTTTCTATGGTGATATTTCTGGCTATTCCTTTCTCTCCCCCTCGTGTCTATTTTACAATGGTATGCAAGGGAACCCAAGATTCAAAAGACAGCCAAGCATCTTAACATTATTTCCCCTCTTTTACCCATTCAAACTATGTCTCAATCCCTGTTTCCCAGAACTCTGTTGTTCCAAGGTTGTGCATACATCATTCTTTACCTCTGTCCCACTTAGCCCATGCAAACCTGCCTAACTGTTTCCCCATCAGCCTTGTTTTCCCATTCCCCTCACCTCCCCAGCACCCAAACTCTCTTAAACACAAGGATATCTTGCAGAAGGTATGAATGACTTAATGAAAGGCAGGAGTTTGAATGCTGCTCCAGGGCTCTTTTCAAGCTGCCGTCTTCCATTTCTGCAGCCCCTGTGGTGGTAAACCATCCAGTAACAATTCCTCAATACTACATGTTACAGTTGTTGTGGTTGTTAAGTACTGTCAAGTCAGTTCTGACCCATAGCAACCCTGTATAGGGTTCCCGAGGAGCAGCTGGTGAGCTTGAACTGCCGACCTTGCAGTTCAAATGGCTTTGCAGTCTGGCTCATTAACCCACAGTGCCACACCAGGACTTAGACACATAAAAATATCCTGAACCAATGTTCTAATATTCCCCAGTCCACCGAACTCTGTGGGAAGAGACTCAGAGGTGAAAGCGTTGGTTCCTATCATAGCCTGGTTGCTCCCATAACAGGCATATAGGTGGAGAAGTGGAGCAGCAGTTCCCAGAAGAGGGGCTGCTGGATTCACAAAGTAATTGGTATCCAAAATTGCAGCCGCAAAAATCATGGTCTAACAATGTCTTTGATCACTGGTTTACTTGATTCAGCTGCTAGCCAAAAGGTTGGTGCTTTGAACCTAGTGACTTTGTGGGAGAAAGGCATGGTTATCAGCTCCCATAAAAGCTTAGAAAATTGTATGGCCAGTTCTGTGCCAACATATGAGGTTGCTATGAATAGAAATGGACTTAATGACACCTAACAAATACACAGAGAGTGAAAGCACACTAACTGCAAGGTCAGGAGTTCAAACCCACCCGCTGCTCCTAGGAAACCCTATACAGGGTTGTTATGAGTTGGAATAGACTCAACAGCACTTAACAACACACACATATGTTGTTGTTGTTGTTAAGTACTGTCGAGTTGGTTCCAATCCATCTTTCTCCTGTATATATGTGTGTGTTGTTGTTAAACACCATTGAGCCAGTTCCAACTCATAGTGACCCTGTATAGAGTTTCTGAGAAATGGCTGGTGGGTTTGAAGCGCTGACCTTGCAGTTCAAAGCAACTTTGCAGACAGGTGTTAGTACTTGTAGACGAAGATCGCTCAGAACATCAAGGGTGTTTTATTGAGCTTGGTAGAATAGTGGGAGATATAAACTGCGTGATCTTCATTCAGGCCTTTAGTCAATTCCAATCCAAGGTAAAAAAAAAAAAAGAGAGAGAGAGAGAGAAAAAAAACTTTTGTAATAGTCACATCTGTGCAGTAGGTAGGCTAAATTCAATAGGGAATAGAAGATTAAACCTACTCAGGTTAGTGTTGGGAAACTTAGAGAACTTGGGTTTTCAACTGATATGATTGTGTGCCAGTATGTAAATCCTCTTGACACCTTGGTGGCAAATAAACTATGCATGTTCTGCCACATTGAACCCGAACAAGTCCTCTGTGTTCCTGATGTCTCATCTATCTACCAAATCCCCTTGTTATTAGAAGAGCAAAGGATTGCAGATTGTTTTCTTCAAAGACTTGCTCTCTATATTGAGAGACAACCACAAAAGATGCTGCAGTGGAAAGAGATGGTTGACAGATTTGTTGGTTTTATGGACACCTGCTCTTTTGCTCTCATGGACAAACACAACAAGTTCCCTTCAAAAACCTATGCCTCTGCCATTCAAACCCTGAAGCCCTCCGC